GTCATGGTTTAACCCCAGCTAGAACTAAGCACCACACAGCCAGTCGCTCACTCCTTTCCCCTCCCAGTGGGATGCAGAGGAGAATCAGGGAAAAAAAAGGTGAAACTCATGGGTTGAGATAAGAACACTTTAACTAAAGCGAATCCAATAATAGTAATGAAAAGGAATGTAACAGAGAGAGAAATAAAGCCCAAGAAAAGCCAAGTGATGCACACTGCGCTTGCTCCCACCCGCTGACGATGCCTGAGCAGCAGCTGGCCCCTCCCAGCCAGCTCCCCCCAGTTTATATACTGAGCGTGGCGGTCTATGCTATGGAATATCCCTTTGGCCAGTTCGGGTCAGCTGTCCTGGCCATGTTCCCTCCCAGCTTCTTGTGCACCTGCTCGCTGGCAGAGCATGGGAAACTGAAAAATCCTTAACTTGGGGTAAGTGCTACTTAGCAACAACTAAAACATCGGTGTGTTATCCACATTATTCTCACAGTAAATCCAAAACACGGCGTAGTGCCAGCTACTAGGAAGAAAATTGACTCTATCCCGGACAAAACCAGGACGAAAAGTCTTGCTAGGTGGAAATTATTAAAGAGTGATTGTATACAGAGAGTCTGGAACAGCACATTGATGAACAATGACACTTTGCTTTTAAAAGTGATTGCTATTCAAGCTTGGAAGCTGCAGATCTGGGAGTATGTTAGGCTTATCTTGCCACTAAACAGCCGCTGGCTCCACTGATTGTACGTGATTTCCTACCAGTTGCATTGTACGTAACTTGGGAAGCATGTGTTCTGGAAATCTGCATCTCCCTTTGCTCTGCAGCTTCACGGCATCCTTCCGGTGACTTTTTTCTTCAGCAGTCCGTAGTGGAATGGGACTTGCCCCCAACTGCTGAGTAAGATTTGTAGTGAGGCACCATTTATGTGGTGATGGAAGATCTCGTTCCCTGTACTTCAGTATATAACAGAAATAACGCCTTCTCTGTAGAGTATTTGTGTACCATTAACTCTGCAAAGGTGCAACAAATTTGTGTGTTCTTTATGAGGAAAATTGGATGAAAAGCTCTAGAAAAGAGGCTTTGTTTCCTGCCTTTCTATTTTGTGGATAATTTAAGCAAACTGTATAAGCAGCAGGGCTCCACAAACTGCTGGAATGTGCTTTTGCTTCTGTGTATTATCAAAGGTCTGTTTGAATCGGAAGGTCTTCCTGCATAGAATTCCGAATGCAGATTTTGTGCAAATGCATGTATTTTGGCTCCCTGTGATGATGTAATTTCAATAGAGAAGTTCATTAATGTGAGGGTTACAATGCTAATAGGAATGGAATATCAGTGCAAAAATATCCTTATTCGTGTCTGCCCTTCACATCTGCCCCTGTACATACATGGAAAGATGTAAATCAAAAAACCTGACCTTTTTGGATATTGGCTTTATTTAGTCTATGGAATCATCTTAAGTGAACTGGAGATCTCGAGCATGCCATTCTGGAGCTCCTGTTCTCCTCTGTTGGTGTTTTAGCTTGCCATCCTTCATTTCGCCTTTCATTTTTCCGTGTAGCAGTGAAAATTGTTTTAATAATAACTCCAAGGTCTTATTTACAGCCCTTCAGTCTTAGCATTTGATGTTGAGAAGTGCCTTTATTCCTTTTTTTAAAATAAATGTAGGAAGAAAGAGGTGACCTAGCTGTCCCAAATTCATCCAGCTACTCATTGGCTGTCAGAAAAATGTCCTGATGTCCTGGCAACTAAGGCAGACGTTTCCCCGCCCCCCCCTAAAATATGACTTCAGCTTTTTATTTGAAAGATTAATTAGGCTTTACATCATGTAGCATTATAAATAAGGGAACGTATGTCGCGCTTTTGCTTCCATCCTGGAGTGTTTTCTCATCTCCTTCTAGTTTTTGAAGAGCTGTGATTTTTGGGAGACTGTATGTTAATAAATACACTCATACAAAGTCAAAGAGAACGTTCTTGCAGTCCTTGAAGGAGCGGTCTGTCCTACTCTATCAAATACGATGTGCTGGAGGAGGTGTAGGAATTTTTAGCTTGTTCTGCAGGTAGTTGGAGCTATCTTGTTCTCCTTGTGAGACTGCATAGCCTTGTGCCTTTTAAATTTTTTTTTCTTGAAGTGTGTGGCCTATAAGAGGAGCAGGCTCATGTTTTCTCTATCTTACTGAACTGGACAGCTGCCAAAAAGAGTGCTCCTGCTCTGTTTTCTTTTTGCCTATTCCTGAGGCCAAGCCACACCTTTCTGTTGCTTCTCTTACCCTCAACCTAGTGAGCGTGCTGATGTGGAAAATCCGTTCAACTTTCCCACGCACTGGAACACTTTGGAAGAAGGATTAATTTGGATCGTCTTGCCAAATTGATTGTTGCACGGTCACAACAGCCGTAGAGCTGTTGTGTGAGGGAGCGGAGCTGAGAACACGTGTTCCTGAGGGAAAGGAGGATTTCCTATGCGAGACCCTTGTGCCCTCCCACTCTTTATCCCATTGTTAAATCTCCATGTGATGTAATGTTCTGTGGAAACACCTGTGAGCTGCGATCAGAAATGGGACTTTCCTGTGAGCCCAGATTGTTCCTTGCTGTGATACCTTCTCTTAGTAACCTGGGGGTTTGCATTAAGCCAGTTCTTAACAAAGATTTCTGTCCCATGTGAGTACTGGGTAAATGGACTGTGCAGGTTGGGAAGGAGGTGTGCAGCATGCTGCTAGAGGGCTGACTGGGATCGTGTTTGACTCCAGGCCTCACTCCTAGCTGTGCTTCTGTTCAATGTCTCTTTCATTAGTAACATACAATGTCTGTATATATTCTGTATTTTGAAGGACGGCCTTTTGTGATGCTTTCTTAAAGCAGGTGTTTGGAACCACAGGCACAGATTTACTACCCCAGATTTGAACACTAGGATTAAACACTTTCAGATCAGCTGTCCTTTGCTACTGATTGGGAAAGTCGGGTATTTCACAAAGCCACCTTTAGTTAAAAAACCCCTCTGACAGTAGTCGTCTTTTCCATAAAATTTTTAATTTAGACGCTGAAAGGCTGTGAAATCAAACGGATGGTCTCCTTGTAGAATGAGGATGTTGCCACTGTGATTTTTGAACAGTTTTATATGTCCTAAGGGTGCTACTCACGATGATTTAAAAAAGTACTTGCTCTCACAAAATTGCTAATGGAATGGATTTGTTGTACAGTAGTCATGTAACTACAGAGTTTTACTGAGTCAGTCACATGATTTATTTACTATTTTGTTGTTAACTGTTCCTTTTATTTGATATTAAAAGCTCTGGCTAATAAATTAAGCACCCTTTTGTGTCTTGTTTTGGTAGCCAGAGGTGTAACTGATTTGGAATCTGAAGGTACTTTTTATTCTTTACAGTGGAGTTTGTCTCCAATTCTTTTGAGCCATGCTGCCTTTGAACAGCTTATCAATCATTTTGCCACTCAACATCTGATCCCCCTGTAATGAGCAGTGTCTTGCTCGCTCCGAGATGAATTCAGACCTTCTGATCCATTTTTGAAATTGGTTTTGATGCTGCTCTGATAGGTGAGAGGAAGATAAATTTATATCGTGTTCCCTCAAAGTAAACACAAAGCGTGTAAGAAACTGCTTGCAAATGAAGTGGTAGGTTTGCTGTTTGTAGTGTATCTACTGCAGTTTCCCTGATTTCTTCCTTGCTGTTGGGAATTAATGTCTCTTAAAATTCAGAAGGAGACCCAAGGAACTTGAACAAGTATACATGTATTCTAGAACTATGTCAACAGTGGTGTGACCTTAGGAGGTCACCCTTTCAAAGGCAACACGTAGGACCTCTGCAGTCTTTTTGTCTTGTAACAATGAAACCATCCCGTCTGCAGGCCCGGGAGCAGGTTTTACTTGAGTAACAAAAGTCTAGGAGAAGCAGAAATTGGCTGTGTGTGTTGCTAAAACATAAGTTTACCTGAGTCACAGAATATTTCTGCAGGAGTTTAGTAAGTGCTTGTTTTGTGCAGAAAGCTGCCTTGCCTAGCTGTATTTATGACTATCTGCCAAGAAAGATAAAGTTGTCTTGATAGGATAAGGGTTCACTCAGCAAGGGAGGGGAGAGTGGAGCATCAGAGTTAAGAGCAGAACCACTACAGTGCAAATTCATAATCCTGAATCTTCACAAACCAAAATTATTTATACTGCGTTATATGCTAAACATCATGGAAACTGGGAGATGCTTGGATAATAACGTGAGTTCAAAGACCAGAGAAATTTAAGCGTAAGACACAAGAAATGGGTGGTTGTTATTCAGTAACAAAGTTAGGAAGGTTGGAGGGGACATGAAGGAGAGCGGTGGGGTCTGGGGTTTTTGTGAATTTTTTTTTTTTTTTTTTTGGCTAGGAGATGTGAATATATTTTCCATCTGTTCTAAAGCCTAATGTTTTGCACTAAAGGACCATTTTTTTAGAGAAAGTAAGAAATTAAAAATCTGAACTTCAAAGCTGCAGATACGTGCTGCTTTTTAAGAGCATTGCTCACTATAACTGTTACCAGAAATATGGAAATAAGGCTGTGATCATGATTGATTGAATGCTTTGAAAAGAGATAGTGAACATGATGCAACTCAAACTTTTTTCTGAGAACTCTCTTAAATGTTTTGTGGCCCTCATGAGACTGAGCTGTTGATCAGTGGGAATTCTTATAACAATGTGTTAGTTACAACATTTTCTCGTTTTTTTTTTCTTTAAAATTATAAAAAGTTATTTGTTTTATCTTTCAACTGTAAAATATAATTTAGGATTGGAGTCTTTTTTGTAATTCCTATTTAGTGTGTCATTCTGCATGTCACTTATTCTGTTTCCCATTTTTTTTAAATATGGAGAGCTGTGTCAAGTAAGTACTTCCACTGGGAATTTTAGACTGCTTTCTGTTTTCTGAAAGATTTGTTCCTGTAAAATTCACTGTGAATCCTGCAGTGGTCTGAAATTAAAAGTCAAAATCATTTCCCATTTAACCTGCTCTTACTTTTCCGTTCCTCTAGATTTGGACTCAGCAGGATCGGCAATGCATCCTTGATACTTTAGCGCAGTTATTACTGGATAAAGAATGTACTGTATTGATTGGCCGACAAGTTCGGCCCATCTTGTTGGATTTGTTGGAAAGAAATGCAGAAGCCATTAAAGCTGGTGGCCAAATCAACCATGATCGTCATGAAAGGCTGTGTGTAGCAATGAGCAAGCTGGTTGCTGACCACCCTGATGTTTTGCCGTGAGTAATGTAACGTCTCTTTGTGCAGCGTTTGAACTTCGGGGGTATATACTTGTCAATGTTCACTGGTGGTGAGAGGTGGTGTTACAGTTTGGATTGTCTCCCACAATAACAAATGTGTTTTGAATCGAAAAAATTATTTAGAAAACACGAGCCTTAAACACAGCTTATTTAAAATAAATTGTGTTGTGAGATCTAACGTGATATTCATCTTAATTACTAAAGAAAAGCAAAACAGCTGGCATGAAAATTGCTCACAGCCAAGAATCTGCGTTTAAGATTAGACCTGTAGGCCAGCAGAATACACAGTTACGTAAGTAGGAATCAGTATCACTTTTTCAGTAAAGAGGAGCAATCGAAGAGATTTTGCCAAAGGCAGTACTGTTTACCCTCGATAATTAAGTAATGATTTCTAATAAGGTAAAGTATCTATTGTCAGATGATTGCTGAAGGGGTTGTCTTTCCCAAGTGTGGACAAAGTTAAATATAGGCCTTAGTTCTCATTATATCATCAGTTACTGTCTCAGGACCTCTGTCCTGACGTTTTTATTAGTGGCTGTTTTCCTTTCCTCTTAGATGTCTGTGTTCCATTTCTTTCTCTATCTCTCTCTTTCTTATAAAGATTTGCTTTAAGATATTTTAAGAACGCATCACCAGTTTTCCAGAGGCTTTTCCTGGAGAGTTCAGATGCAAACACAGTCCGATATGGGCGCAGGCGAATGAAGTTACGGGACCTCATGGAGGCAGCCTATAGATTTTTACAAAAGGAGCAATCAGTTTTCCGGGAATTATGGGACTGGAGTGTGTGTATTCCACTCCTAAGGAGTCATGACACCTTAGTCCGTTGGTAAGTTAACCCCCCCCCAGATCTCCACTGAAAAGATGTATCTTCTTGAATTGTATTTAACAATGTCCACATGTAAGTAGAAAAGAATCTTCAAATAATACTGGAAAAATCTGTACCGATCGTGTCTGTACCTGTGCTTCTTACCAGATCTTTTGAAAGCTGTAGTGATCTGTCACAGAGTGAAATTTAGGCTAGCTAATCTTCCAGTCTTCTTCTAGCAACTTTTTTCTTTCCCCCCTGCCAAGCTCATTGACAACTTTGTTCTTGGAAGGTAAAAACAGTGGTATAATAAATGAAAAGTGTTTTGTGATTTGTATTAAACGTCCTTTTGTTTCGAGACAGCTTCATGTAGTAATGAAGTCAGGACTTGGGAGTTTTTCACTTCTTTTGGCACTGAGTCTTGAGGTCATTGTGTTAGGGTTATTTTAGAAATAGCACGAAATAGAAAGGAATTTTGAAAGGGATATAGTAGAAGTAGAAGAAAAAATGGGGCAAAGAAAACCTAATTTTCATTGTCTCATATGACGCTGTTTAACATCTTTGTTGGTGACATGGATGGTGGGATTAAGCGCGCCCTCAGCAAGTTTGCCGATGACACCAAGCTGCGTGCTGCAGTTGACATGCTTGAGGGAAGGGATGCCACCAGAGGGACCTTGACAGGCTGGAGGGGTGGGCCTGTGCAATCCTCGTGAAGTTCAACAAGGCCAAGTGCAAGGTCCTGCACCTGGGCTGGGGCAATCCCAAGCACAAATACAGGCTGGGTGATGAGTGGATCGAGAGCAGCCCTGTGGAAAAGGACATGGGGGTGCTGGTGGATAAAAAACCTGAAGATGATCCAGCAGTGTGCGCT